CTCTCTGCCTACGGTTTACCGGGCAGTTCTGTTTGTGAAGATATATATATCTCGTCAAAAAAAATATATATGTACATATGTATATATATCGTTTATGAGTCGGTGAAACTCCGACGAAACAGTTTGTCACAGCCCCTCGTTTGTTGTCCTCTTCTCCCTCTCTGCCTACGGTTTACCGGGCAGTTCTATTTGACGATATATCGTTTATATGCCACAGCCCCTCGTTTGCTGTCCTCTTCTCCCTCTCCGCCTACGGTTTACCGGGCAGCTCTGTTTGACTATATATACCACGATTTCGCTAGCACCCTGCTACGGTATTCTTCGGTCAGGCCGAGTGGCAGTGGTCGGGGCTGTCACTACGCGGCCATGCTGTGCCTCTAGTGCCAGCGGCATGTCTGGAGTGTATATTTTGGCTGTGACAGACCTTTCTTTGTTTCGTGGGTGTTTTGCTTGCTTGTGATGGGGTGTGAACCGACAGTCTGTAGAGTTTTCCATCTGGTGTGGGTGAGTGACAGTCTGCGTTGACTTTTGCCACAGGTACCTTGAGGGCAGTGGTTGGTGCCCACCTCAGGGTATCAGTTGTCGGGCAGTCGTTGATGCTTAACCACAGACGGGGTTAAGGTGGATTATCACTTACAGTGTAATCAGTTAGGGGATTCTGCAGACTGTTGAGGTTTCAGCCTCCTGATGAGTCGGTGAAACTCCGACGAAACAGTTTGCCACAGCCCCTCGTTTGTTATATATATATCGTCAAATAGAGTTGCCCGGTAAACCGTAGGCAGAGAGGGAGAAGAGGACAAGAAACGAGGGGCTGTGACAAACTGTTTCGTCGGAGTTTCACCGACTCATCAGGAGGCTGAACCCTCAGCAGTCTGCAGAATCCCCTAACTGATTACACTGTAAGTGATAATCCACCTTAACCCCGGCCATGGTTAAGCATCAACGACTGCCCAACAACTGATACCCTGAGGTGGGCACCGATCACTGCTCTCAAGGTACCTATGACGAAAATCAAAGCGGACCATCACTCATCCACAGCAGATGGAAAACTCTACAGACTGTCGGTTCACACCCACCCCATCACAAGCCAGCAGAACACCCATAATTTAACATGTAGTCAAGGGGACTAGCGGAGTGAGAATGATCGCTGTATCGCGACTAGAGTTGGCCCAAATAGAGCCACATGTAATCAGTGTTCTATCTGGTGGTCCCTTTCTCTTCCATTCTCTGCCTCGCAATGAGTTGACTTGATCAGATGGAAGGGAACACTGAGTACATATATAGCTGTGTATTTGGGACGGCTTTCAGTCTGGGTGCAGTGATGCACAGTAATAACTCCCTGCCACTTTGATAGTCTTTCCAACTACGCCTGGGCGTAATCTCTTTCCTGCCGTGCTCCATCCAGACGTCCGAGTCCCCAGTTTTTTTTTTTTTTTTTTTTTGTCCCCAGTTTTGCACTGATGATGTTCCATGCTCACCCCGTCTGTTTGGCCGCCCTGTGTCCCGTGATGGTCTGTCGGCTGTGTGCATGCTCTGTTGACTGTCTGCAAAACACTGTTGCACCCTTCTTCATCGCTTTTTGCAATTGGACGGCATTGTACTTTCTCATGAATGTGTTCTTGGAAATTGGCCAAGGTCATAACAGTCAAACCACCAGTGCGTAACCCAGCCATTTGTTTTTGCCCAACACAAGGCACACGCGATGACTTTCGGAGGCCGAGGGCTCTGTTGATTTCATCAATGGCCCCTGACCTGCGCCATGACTTTCGGAGGCCGAGCTGTCCCGTGCCGTGCCGTGCCGTGCCATGCCGTGTCGGAGATTTTGCCTGGGAAACGTACCGGTGGTTTCAGCAGTTGCGTAGGTCTTCTGAGAAAAATGCTTTGGCAGTGGCCTGTGTCCTTTTGAGTTTTGGAAATTTTGAACCCGGACTCAAGCTGTGTCCAAATGCATACCTGATGATGATGATCATCATCATGATGATGATGATGTTGATGATGATGTTGAGAGAGCATTTTGGCCCTTTGGAAAAGAGAGAGAGAGAGAGAGAGAGAGAGAGAGAGAGAGAGAGAGAGAGAGAGAGAGAGAGAGAGAGAGAGAG